GAGTCCTTTGTCTGAAGCAATCAGAAGGTCATTTGTAATTTTAACTAGTGCTGTCTCAGTGCTATGATGCACTCTAAATCCTGACTGAAATTCCTCAAATAAATTATTATCATGGAGAAAATCACACAGCTGGTCTGCGACTACTTTCTCAAGGATCTTTGACATAAAGGGAAGATTAGATATTGGTGAAGTGGTGAACAGGTCAGAGACTTGTCCAGACGTGATCTCAGCTCCAGGTTGTGTGTGACGGACTGAACAGAGTGATGCTGCAGATGTGTTTTCATCAGCCCCACCCTCACCCTCAGCTGCACCATTAAAGAGACATGAACACATTAATGCATCAATAATCACAAGCCAACACTGTGATATAAACATTACTGTGAGATGGGCCACTCTATATCAGGATGTTAATACTTTTATTAAAGAACTGAGAAAAGGAAAGGATGACATCATGACGATGTCATGTTTCAGACCTGGACAAGTTGTGTCAAAGCACACACAAGATCAAGGTGAGTTTGCGTGAAAAGACAATCAAGGCTGACACGATTCAGACTCTAAACATCCCCAATACCCAAACTATTCCGTGTCAAGAAACCCAGAAGGCCAGAACAAGTTGGAGTCAAAATACGCATGAGATCGTTATAAGTCTAATTTGAGTCAAAACACCAACAAAACAATCAGAATCAAATAAACCAAAACGAGCCTGAGTCACCAGGGCCCTATTTCTGTCCCTGTGGTGTCTGTCTTCAGATTTATCAGCCTCTCATCAGACATTAAAGGAGCCTCTCTGATCGACCAGCTGCTGCAGGTTCTGTCTGACGTCACCAAAGTACTGCTGAATCTCACACCACTGCCTGCTGTAACTGTGCTCATAATACGCCTCAAAGTATTTGTCATAGCTGGTGTTATAATCCAGGATATACCACTTTGAATCTTCATCCACCAGATATCTATTATTTGGGGCCATGAAGTAAGGCTTCTCTCTCAGACTGCACTTTGCCTGGATCATCTCCTTGTGCATCTTGAACAGTGTGTCCAGGTCGCTTTGATAAGCCCAGAGGAGTTCTTCCACAGGGTCGCAGGTTTGAATCCCTCAGAGTCTCACCAGGTGAATCAGCATCTGGACGTGGAAGGCTGCCCCGTTCACCCAGGCCTTCAGAGCCGGAGACGTCATGTGTCCGTCCTTCACCATGGAGTTCTTCAGCTTGGTGAGGGCGGCGCTCAGCTGGCACTCGATCCGGCTGATGTTGCTCCTCAGCTTGTCTCTGCTTTGAATGTTCATCATGCATCTCTTCAGGCACTCGTCAATCTGGTCCCAGACCTCAGATGCCTCCTCCTCAGCAAACACACAACGCAGAGCGTCCTTCGTGCTCTCCTCAGGTGGACTAGATGAAACAATATCGATGACAATGACAATGGAGAGCGCTCCAAGGCCCGCCAGTTCAGGAGCTGGTGTCAAGTCAACCAGCTTGTCCGCCAGGGTCTCGATCCAGTCAGCAGCGCTTTTGCCAGTCTTCTTTTTCCTCTTCTCATAGTGTTGTCTCAGATTGTCTGAGGAAGTAAGACCGGTGAACATCTCAATGTTCTTGTTGACTCTCAGATCTGGACCTTCGGCCAGTTGCTTCACAAAATGCTCCAGAAAGTTACTCTCGATCTCTCTCATGTGCTCCTCACTAATGGTCGGATTACAAAACACATTACCCATCTCCTTGTTTCAGGATCAGGTGACAGATGGAGGTTGTAGTTTTGTGTAACACTGCAAAAAAAAAAAACCCACAACAACAGTGAAATTTGTCATCATGATCTTTAAACATTGTCTCTACGTCAACTGAAGCTTTGTATTCCACCTCATGATGAAGCAGCGTCCATGAGGTTGTGGTCAAAACTATCACAGTGTTTGGGGGGTAAAGAAACCCCAGAACAAGTTCATGGTATTAAATTCGCGTTTTTCTGTTCTAATGTAAGCTGCTAACGTTAGCATGTCCACCAAACCAGCTTAACACCTACAGTTGTAATGTAGCGTTACGTTTACTTCAAATCAAAGAATGTAAAATGAGCCCGCTCCATTAGAGGTAAAAATCCAGATCTAAGAGACTATTCTTATATAATGTTGGCATGACCTGAGACCTGTTAGCTTTAGCTTCAGTCCTTTGGGTTTGGTCTCAGCCTATTAGCTTAAGCCTCAGTCTGTTAGCATGATATACTGACTTCAGACATGTTAGCTTTAGCCTCAGTCTGTCAGCAAGATATTTAATGACCTGAGACATGTTAGCTTTAGCATCAGTCTGTTAGCTTTAGCCTTGAACTGTTGGCATGACATCATGACCTGAACCTATTGGCTTTGACCTCAGTCTGTTAGCATGATATCATGACCTGGGACCTGTTAGCTTTAGCCTCAGTCTGTTAGCATGACATCATGACCTGGGACCTGTTAGCTTTAGCCTCAGTCTGTTAGCATGACATCATGACCTGAGACCTGTTGGCTTTGACCTCAGTCTGTTAGCATGACATCATGACCTGTTAGCTTTAGCCTCAGTCTGTTAGCATGATACCATGACCTGGGACATATACATACATATATATATATATATATATATATATGTATATACATGTATACCAAAATACAGAATATACAAACTTTTAAGGCCTTTTTGAGGGTTTGGATCTACCCCTCTGTCTCTAACACACACCCACGTCTTAAATCAAGCATGATGTCACGTACAATACGTAGCCACCAGGTTCTTAAAAACAAGCAACACAAGAAGTGATACAACTGATCAGTTAAATAAAATAATCAAACATGAGGACTTGCTGATCTTCATAAGCAAATCAAATTTATTTATGTAGGACATATAAAAACACCAGCATTTGACTAAAGTGCTGTACAAATTAAAATAATTACACGTAAATATACAGAATTAAAATAGGCACAAGAAATAAACAAACTCATAGAATAGAAATATATGGCAATACATTTTAAGATATGTTTATTTTACTATTTAGTTTATATAAATTTCAAAGAGGTGCATTTGATTTGATGTAATATAATTTTGAATATACAAATTCAAACTCTTATTTTTTTATTTCTTTTTGCCGCAGGCTCGTCTTCAAACTATAACAGGTTATAAAACAGATTCATATCTGCTCTTATTAAATATTTTCATATTAACAATAATGTCTCTGTGAATAAAGCTGAACAGGTTACAGACCTGAGATCAGCTGTTAAGGATGATTCCAGTAGTTGTTGATCAGAGAGTGAAATGGTGAACAGGTCAGACAGTGAAGTGGTGAACAGATCAAAGAACAGTTTTTACCTCAGCTTAGAGAGACTTGTCCAGATGTGATCTCAGCTCCAGTTTGTGTGTGAAGGACTGAACAGAGTGATGCTGCAGATCTGTTTTCATCAGCCCCACCCTCACCCTCAGCTGCACCATTAAAGAGACATGAACACATGAATGCAGGCCTGATATCAGACAGAAGTGTCAACTCATTAGACTCAGTCACTCCTTCAGAATCAACCAGCTCAAACTCAGTGGAGTGGGTGGATTCAAAGGTTCCTTCAAATGTCAATGTCGGATGTTTGTGATAAACTGAAGGATGAAGTCTTCCTTTATACATACAGCACATACTTTACCTTCAATGTGCTGATAATTACAGAAGATATTAATCCCACAACTGGGAAATGCACACGTTACAGCAGCTCAAGAGTCATTACATCATAGGCTACGTCGGTCAGGTTTGAATGTAGGTACTTATGGCAAGCCGTTTTAACATTTAATCACTAAGTTTGACTATCCAAAATTACCATTATAGATATCTATAACGTAATTTTGCCTATTAGTAATGTCATTGTGACTAGTCTGAATTTTAATTTAAGATATCTGTAACGTCATTCTGACTAGGCAAAACTACAGTTACAGATATCTGTAATTCAGTTTTGACTAGTCAAAACTACAGTTACAGATATCTGTAATTCAGTTTTGACTAGTAAGATTCAAACTATTTTTGCCATTCATGTGTATGGGGTTTGTCATTATAGATATCTACAATTACATTATGACTATCTATAATTCCAGTTTGAGATATCTACAACGTCATTTTGACTAGTCATAATTCGAATTCAAGATATCTACAACGTCATTCTGACTGTCTGAAACTCAATTCAAGATATCTAGAAAGGACCATGTAGATATCTTCAATTGATGATAATTAAAGATATCTTGAACTTGAATAAGGAATAGTCAAAATTAAGTTGTAGATATCTCAAACTGGAATTACAGATATCCACAATAACAATTGCAGATATCCACAACTACATTGAAGATATCTATAATGACAAACCCCATACACATGAATGGCAAAAATAGTCTGAATCTTACTAGTCAAAACTGAATTACAGACATCTGTAGTTAGAGTTTTGACTAGTCAAAATCTAATTACAGATATCTTGTTTAAGAGTTTTGACTAGGCAAAATTATGTTGCAGATATCAGTAATGAATATCCAGTCTAGCGATTAAATGTTAAAACGGCTTGCCATAGGTGCTTTAGTTGGAGTACTTGTACAGTGTAGTATTAGTACTTTGATTGCAGTACAGGATGCGAGTACTTCCTCCATCCTCCACAGTTCACAGTTCAGTCCAGCAGGCGGCGGTAGCGTTTATCAACAGAAAAAAAACGGCAGCCGCCATTTTCGGAGCGGAAGGAGGAAGAGCAGAGAGAAAACATTCAACTCCTCAAGTCTAAATCCTCCTGAAATCTCGAACCTGTGTGATGGAGGTCCCCGGGCCGGACAGCGACTGGAGGAGTCCTCAGTTCCGACAGAAAGTCGTCGCTCAGATGTGAGATATTTACTTTCATATGTAGCACTGCTGGCTAATTCACTGTTTGCGTTAGCCCAATGAGCTAAGCTAACGTTAGCTCGGCAGGAAAACACGTCATAGCAAACTTTGCTTTAAAAAATCAGTAAATTAACACCGACTCGTAAAAAGACAAAGTTAACACAGGTCGATACACATGACAGGACACATGAGGTTAAAGGTCCGGGTCCACTCTTTAATTCGGCCTGCTTAAAATGAACACAATTATTGTTAATGAAAGTATATATCAGATTTTAATATTAGCATTGTCAGCTGCTAACGTTAGCTCACTCAGCGGGTTAACTCTTCACACTGTTAGTATCACTCCTTAAATCTGTACTGATGAACTTTTAACAGGAATATTTCTTGTAGTTAATTTAAACAGTTAAATTAAAATCATTGAACCAAACCAAATTTCATGTGTTTCATTTTTACATGTGAAATTATTAAAGTAAAACTTATTACAATTAAACAGTAAACACGTTGTATTTATGTACAATATATTTACATACGAACACATTACGTTCATGTGGTATGTATTTATTTGTAAACACGTTATACCTATATACTATATACATATATGAACACATTATCTTTTTATATTTAACAACGTGAGGCTGTGTTTGAAATCAAATATCAGTTTTTCACACAAACAGAAAGACTCTTCTTTTAAGTAGCATAAATATTAGTTTTGTACATGAATAATATTTATGTAGGCAAACTTGTATTTCGAATGTGCAACATGTTGTGCAATATTTGCATATTTACAACATAAAGATAAGTGGCTTTTACAAGTGCAGTGAAAATATGGCTTTACATTAGTTAAAGGTGTGTTAAATATGAGTTACAGCTGTTATAAATCTCACATGGACAATGCAGTGTTTGCAGTTTGTTTTGTAGAACTCTTGATCATCATATGTACATGTAATAAACTTAAAGAGGCAACAGATAGGATTTTTTTTTTAGCTTGGCGCCACCTAGCGTCAGCAGTGTTGCTCGCACTGTCGCAACGACCAAACTGAGCGTGGGGATCAGACATAATGAATAAAATGTAGGCTGTAAAGCCACCAGTATACCTCTATGTATATGTAGAATGAGAAGGTGTGTGGACGCTCTACTAAATAAATGAGTAAAGAAACCGAGCAACAATTATCAGATTAATCTGAAGAAAAAACAAATAGTAATGCAAATAATTATAGCAGAATGCACAGTACCAGTACAAACAGCTCACAGTAAATGATACCAATATGTACAGTATCAGTACAAACAACAGTAGACACAGTGGAATTATACCAATATGCACATGTAAACAGTCCCCATTCTAGAATAAACACTACCGTATGGAAACCATGCGGCCGGTTGGAGCTCAAATTGAATGGGAAACAAAGTCCAGTGTTCACTTAGCTGGGCGTAACTTAGCTGGGCGATGTCCGTGGATAGCTGCCTCCATGAGAAGAGAACAGAAGGAAGGGAGGGGGGTATCACTGTCCGAGGGCTGCCGTAGAATGGCAACCAGGATGTCAGCCGACCAACACTCACTACCCGCTCCCTGGTTGCGGCGATTTGCGATGCTGGCCAGCTAGAAATGAACTAGCAGCCAGTACAGTACAGTCATCTCTGGTCTAGCTAACATTTAGCCGTGTTACTTACTGATCCATTAGAAAGAAAGCTAGCTGGACATGGGTTTTGAAGCCTCTTTGGTCACGGAGCTCCCTCCATCTCTTGAACGCCTGACTGAGGTTTACTCTTGTTTTTCCTCTTCTTTTATCACTCTCCTTTTTGCTCTTCTTTGCCTCCTCACACAGAGGAGCTCCTTTTCTTTTGCTAGGCCGTTTTTCACTTGTCTCCAAACTTTGTCCGTCTGCCATTGTGCTTGTGACTCAACTATCTCATGCCCAACTCCTCATAAGGACCAGCTCCAGTCCCTGATTGGCTGACCGAAGCCACTAAGTAACCTATGTAAACGCTGATAGTCTGATTTTACTGTGGACACTACCCTGTGCAACCCACATTATTTTCATCGATGCTGTCTGTTGCCTCTTTAAGATTGTTTTCATTATTAATCTGAAGGTTACAGGGTTCAATGTTAAGGTTTTTTAATTCATCAATCTGGGAAAAAATCAAACTACTTGACTTCCAAATTGTTTTCTTTATGAACTATTATCAAACAACAACAACAATCTATCAGTGCTGCTTCTGTGCAACGTTCAACAGAAATGAGAATGAAAAGAAATATGAAGAAAATGTTTGTGCTGTAAAATGACCTCCAGAATGTTCCAGATCCCCAGTGGAGATATTTAAAGAGCTTATTTTCACATTTAAGGAGCAACAAACTGAAATATCTGTTTCATAAAGTTCAGTTTTTAAATCAGAATAAACACGGAGGTGATGTATAGACGGTGAAAGACAGGTGAGGAGTGTGTGTGTTTTTGATCAGTGTGTTTTCTATGTTTCTCTCCAGTGAGGACGCGATGAGGAAGGCGGGAACTGCACACACCAAGTCCAGTAATGACATGGAGAACCATGTTTACGTTAAAGCCAAATCCAGAGTGAGTGCTGTGTCACTACAGGAAGTTGGTCAGACTGCTGGGAGTGATGAACGATAACAATCCAGCGTGTTCTAACAGGTCTCACTCTTGTTTCCCAGGAGGAGTATTTATCTCTGGTGGCGAGGCTGATCATTCACTTCAGAGACATCCGTGAGTATTTGAGCTGTTTCATTTGAAGGCTGCGATCTGAAAACTGACTCGTAACACAAGAGTCTGACGGTCCACTGCTGATGTGAAGCATCCGACGCTGTTCCACAGTTACTAATCACTGGTGTCTTATTTCCAGATAAGAAGACTCTGGGAGGACCAGGTAAGTGGACTCTGTCTTTGTCTCTGTCTGGGTCACTTCCCATTGAGTTCTTTCTTTGCTGTGTTCTGTCCTCTGCTGGACCTGTCACTACCAGACTCATGGTGTTCATGGTTTCTGCTGTGCATGTTGGAGCTGCGTAATATGATCTGTTGTCTACCCTTCTGCTAGATCCCATGAATGCCCTGACTAACCTGACAGGGGTTGGAGGGGGCCCGGGCGCCATTGGCATGGGGCCTCGCCCCACCGGTGCTCCAGTGGGTGGCATGGGGGCCATGGGGCAGATGCAGATAGGCCAGCATGCCATGGCAGGGGTGGCTGGAAACCCACAAGCCAGTGAGTGTGTTTCCTCCATGTGGTGTGTGTTTGCTGTTCGGTGGATGTCGGCTGCGTCAGAGCTGCTCTTACCTTCAGTCTCTGCTTTGGCACGTTTTGTGTGTTTGAGACTCCAGACTCTCCTCAGCCTGGTTCTGAGCTGTAGAGCGGCTCTGTCCTTCATCTTCTTCTCGCTCACCCTGCAGTAGGGGGTCCAGGCCAGATGCCGATGCAGCAGATGGTGCAGGCGCAGCAGCAGCAGTCCATGCAGTTCCAGCAGTTTCAGCAGGCCCAGCAGCAGCAGCAGCAGCAGCAGCAGCAGCAGAACGCCATGCAGCAGCAGCAGCAGCAGCAGCAGCAGCAGCAGCAGCAGCAGAACGCCATGCAGCAGCAGCAGCAGCAGCAACAGCAGCAGCAGCAGCAGCAGAACGCCGCCATCCAGCAGCAGTTCCAGGTGCAGCAGCAGCTGAGGGCGCAGCAGATGCAGCAGCAGCACCACCAGAATCAGCAACTTCAGCAGCAACACCAGAACCAGCAGCAGCAGCAGGCCCAGAACCAGCAGCAGCAGAACCAGGTATACAGTCAGTTACTAGCTCCGTTTACACTGCCAGATTTTCGGCAAATGTTGCAAGCGTTTAGATACACAGAGCCGGATTGGCGAGTTGATCCGAGGTGCCCAATTTTCCGCCTCGTAGGGTAGACATATTGTTGGAACCTTTTTGGTTTAAAAAGAACGAGGCGGCCTTCCGGAGCTGTTGATGACTTGTGGGAGGAGCTGTTGATGACTTGTGGGAGGGGCTGTTGATGACTTGTGGGAGGGGCTGTTGATGACTTGTGGGAGAATCCGAAAATCCGATTTTTGACTGCTGACTGTCCACACTGTTTTTAGCAAGTGTCCAAATCGGATTTGGCTCTGTTCAGACTGGGCCACATTATTGACAAATCTGACAGGTTGCTGTGGCAACGACTTTGGAGCAGAGGCGTCATCTAGCGTTTATTGTGTGATGTCATATAAGGAGCTGTTCAGACTCAGACACATCTGTCCAAATGCGATTTGAAACTACCTCCCAAAGGTGGTTTCGATCTGGTTTGCAAAAATCGGATTTCATGTCATTAATGACTGTTCAGGCTTCATAAGAGCCATCTGGTTCCAATCTAGATTGGCTAAAAATCGGATTTTGGCTGGCAGTCTAAACAAGGCCTTAGTGCCTTTTTCGGGCTTGTTTTGCTTATATTCTTGAAGCAGCAGTACAACAACAATCTTGTTCTGCTCATGCTTCGTCTGTTGAGGAGGAGAAGGGAGGTAGAAGACATACGCCATTGCGTGCTATATACGCCATTGCGCCGCTATATACATCATCTCGCGCGCTATATACATCATCTCGCCGCTATATAAGTCATCTCGCAGCTATATACATCATTGCGCGTGCTATATACGTCATCTCGCACGCTATATAAGTCT